TTTTTTAAATTTATTAAGAGATAAAAATATATCAATTTTTGAAAAAATATAATGTAAGATTATAATAAATAATTATATTAAAAATGTATAACATTAATTATTTAAAATATAACAATAACCCTACCTAATTGTAACAATTTTGAATTTTTATAATTCATAATATTCTAATTTAATGTTGATTTAGATTAATTTTAATTAGTTTGATTTAGTTTTGATTTGATTAATCGATTTGCATCTGAAATGGACTCCCTAACTATTATTATGAGACCATGAGTGTATTGCTGTTTGAGGAGCTAAACAATACCATCTTAATTGTGTTTTATAGGAATAAAATAAATTTTTTAGGTTGATACCTGTAAGGTTTAACATCATACATTAATGCTTTATATTTTCAATTGTCTGAACAAATTAAAATTTTCTTTATTTTCTCTATTCTCATTTTCCTTTGGAGGTTGTTCGGCAAAGTTTCGGCTATCTGTATATTTTTTTTTTATTTTAAATTATACGATAAAATGTAATTTTTTTCTTCTTTAATTCATTTTATTTACATAATATATAATTTAAATTTAAAATTTTTTATTTTCATAAAAAAGATATTGTCATTAAACTATTTAAATAATTAATTTTAAATTAAAAAATTACATGTAGCAACTCCAAATATTCTTAATAAAACAAATAACATTATGGATTTGAAAGTCATCAAAATCCACATGCTCATTAAGCATATATCCCTACAATAAATAAATAAATATAAATTCCACGTTATTATTATATTGCAAAAATCTAAATATAAATAGGATAAAGAATAGCCATGTATGATTCTTCTTGCCTCTCCTGAATCACCATCAACAAACATCACAATCATCTAGAAAAGAAGAACGTAAACCGCATTGAGGGGAGCCTATCTTTCAAACATAAAATAAATTTTATTAAATCTTTTTTTGGGGACTAAGTTTTCTGATGGAGCTTTGTGGAAAAATCTTCCAAAAGGTTAAAACTTCATCAAAATTTTATCTTGATTCTTCTATTTAATAAATTTTTTTTAATTTTTTAATTTATAAATTTTCTTTTAATTTTTAAAATTTATTATTTGGTTCTTTTTAATCTCTTTATTATCTTTTTTACCTATGTGATATATAGATTAAATGATAAATATTTTTAAGTAGAGAGATGAAAAAGGAGTTTTTTTTTAATAGAAGAATAAAAGAAGAGTTTTTTCATCTCCTTTTAATCTATTTATTTTAAAATTTTTATCATCTAATATATCATAGATATAAAAAGATAATAAAAAAAACTAAAAGAGAATCAAATAATAAACTTTAAATACTAAAAGGTACTCTCTTAAGTAAACAAATAAAAATAAATTTTTTATTAAAGTAAAAAAATCAAAATAAAATTTTAACCTCACAAAAGTTTTGCACGAAAAATAACCCCAGTTTCACTCCGCAACAAAGAATATTCCTTCTCATCTCGCACCAAACGGAACAGTAATCCACAATTCTTAGCAATGCTTACTGGAATTGAGTGGAATTGTCATCCTAATTTGGTTGGTGCGAGAACGTGGGCCCTTAGTACCCAAACCACTGCCAACTCACCGATCTCACATTTTGTCCC